TTTTTCCTCTATTTATGCTAGCACTAAACATGAAAAAAGACGTGAGTTCTGGAACAATATAGAAAATATTCATAATTGTTATAAGGGTCCTTGATTATTAGGGGGAGACTTCAATGATATTTTCAGTTCTAATGACAAACTTGGTGGTAACCCCATCAACCGTAGGCATAGTAACACTTTATGGAATAGTATTAACAATTTTAATTTACTAGACTTAGGTTACAAGAGGTGCAAATACACTCGGTCTAACCATAGGAAAAAGTCTAGGGGTTTAATTATGGAAAGACTAGATAGAATTTTTGTTAACAAAGATTGGTTATCAATATATCCCAAAGCAGTGGTCATTCACCTTCCTAAGACTCATTCTGATCATAATCCCTTGTTAATAACCTCATCCCTAAGAATGTGAATCATTGTAGTAAACCTTTCCGTTTGAAAATAATTTGGTATAGGCATCCTGATTTTATTAACATAGTAAAGCACTATTGGAGTGATAAGGATCTTATTACTGCTCAAAACTATTTTAGAAATGAGGTCATCAAATGGAAGAATAATACTTTTGGAGACATTTTCAAAAAGCAAAAAGGATTCTAGCTAGACTAAATGGAATCCAGTCTTCACCTAATTATCAAAATAATCTTTTCTTACAAGATTTAGAATCAAATTTGCAACTAGAGTACAATAATATTCTAAAAATGGAACATGATTTCTAGAAACTTCGGTCTAGAATTAATTTGCTCAACGAAGGTGATGCCAATACCAAGTATACCATGTTATTGCTTCTAACTGTAAACGTCATAATGCCATTATGCACTTCACTAATGACAATGGAGACTGGATTTCTGAACCTAAACAAATTCTAGACCATACTCTTTCCTTCTTTATGGAGGCCTTTAAGACATCCAAAACTACCTCTCCTAAAAACATTATCATAAGTGATCCCTCGTGCCATGATAAGGTTGACCTGAGTAGCCTTGATAAACCTTTATCTAATATGGAAATCACCAAGGCCATATTTTCTTACCTTTTAAGGCTCCAGGTCCGGATGAAATTCATCCTTTTTTTTTACCAGAAATATTGGCATATCATTGGTGACTATTACAAACTATTGTCACAAGGTATTCAAAACTCAATCCCTGCCTAGTGGCATCAATGATACCTTTATACCTAAATTTTCTAATGCAAACAACCTTAAAAACATTAGACCTATTGATCTTTGTCATATTTCTTACAAAATTATCACTAAGATTATTGCTAATAGGATAAAACCTTTCCTCCCTTACCTTATCAGTCCCATGCGATCCAGCTTTATTAAGAGCAGAAGAGCCTATGATAATGTCATTATTATTCAAGAAATTATGAATAACCTTCCTAGATCAAAAAAATCCAACTTTGATATGATAATCAAATTAGATTTGGAGAAGGCTTTTGATAGACTAGAATGGTCTTTTGTGTATAGGACACTTAGATACTTTAAGTTTCCTCCGAATTTGTCCCGTCTAATTATGCATTGTATTAGTACAAGCTCTATGGGGATCCTAGTGAATGGTTCTAGAATAATTTTTTTCAAACCTAGTCGTGTTATTCGTCAAGGAGATCCTATATCCCCCTGAATATTTATCCTTTCTCTTGAACTACTATCTAGACTAATAAATCACCAAGTGGACCTATTAAGATGTGATCCCATTAACATTAGGCAAAAATGACCCTCCTTCTCTCACATACTTTTTGTTGATGATATAACTCTAATGGGAAAAGTAAACAAAAAAACAGGGCATTGCATAAAATCTTGCATGGACCTTTTGTGTGATGAATCCGGGCTATCCATAAACACTTCTAAATCAAGAATTGCCTTACCCAAAAATTGCCCTAATGATATCATCCTATATCTCACACATCTATTTGGCATAAAACTCACTATGAGTTTGGTAAATACCTTGGTTTTCCAATCCTAAATCACTTTCCCACTCTCAAAGACTACCAATTTGTCATAGATAAATTGCAAACCAGTTGTATCACTGGAAATGCTCCTTCCTAAATATCGCTGGAAGGACTACTCTAGCTTCTAGTACATTAAGTGTCATTCCTACTCATTCTATGCAATATACCCTGCTCCCCCCTAAAATCTTAAAGAAAATAGATAAAATTCAAAGGGATTTTATCTGGGGATCCACTAGCTTGGCAAAAGAAATACCTCATTAACTAGCAAAAGGTGACTAGTGATAAGAATGAGGGTGGGCTAGGTATTCGCCCTGCTAAAGCTAAAAATATGGTTTTACTTTTCAGCTTTGCGTGGAGACTATTAAGAAACCCTAATACTCCTTGGGGTCAACTAATTACGGCCAAATATGAAAAGAATAAAGTTGTAACTTCCACCTCCTTCATCTGAAAATTTATCCTTAAGGGATGGAAACTGTGTAACAATGGTATTTTTTGGCATCCGACTACCAACTCCAAGATTAGTAATTGGTATACCAATTGGATTTACAACTCTAAATCTCTTAGAATCTCTATAGAAGGCTCTTTAAGTAAGAACCTTAATCTTTCGATAGGAAACCTCACAAAAAAAATGAATGAAATATTAAGGATATTTCCTTTGAATTGCCCACTGATATCGTTAATAATTTGATCCTTACCCTTATCCCTAGTAAAGGATCAAACATTGATAGAATTAGTTGGAGTCTCAACTCAAATGGTCTATTTACAACTAAATCCTACTACAACCTCCTATCAAATGTCAATCCATCTACCACCTCCTTTAAATGGATTTGGAACCTCCATTGCCCCCAACAAAATAAAGTTCTCCCTTTGGCAATGCATGCATCGTATCTGTTGTCGTGCCTATCTTGCTAAAATAGGAATCAATATTGATGCAACATGTACTATTTGCAAACTTGGGGTAGAGGATATACAACACATTTTTATTAAATGTCCAGTCTCTAATCGCTTTTGGGAGAATATGGGCCTTCTATTTCTTAATATTAATAGTGACACTGATTGGCTAGTGAAGTTGAGGGATACTTCATGCAATGTAGTAATCACCAGGTTAATTGGGATACTTTATTTCCCTTCTCCATCTGGGAAATTTGGAAAAACAAGAATCTTAATAATATTAACAATCTAGATCGTAACCTAGAAGCCAGAAAGATTATTCATCTAGCATGGGAATTCAAATTCTTTATGGAGAAAAATACCTTCACGCTTAAAAAAATCAAAATTGAAATCAAATGGGACAAACCACCCAAAGGTATGATCAAATTAAATTGTCATGGTGCCTTTTCTAGTAACAATAATGCTGCTGGGCTTGGTGGCACATTCCGAAATAGCAATGGAGACTGGATTATGGGATTCCACAAGGCAAGTCAAGCAATTTCACCTACACATGCAGAGTTGATGACATTACTAGAAGGTTTAAAAATTGCGAAAGAAATGAACTTCCCAAATATGAAAATTGAAACAAATTGTACGGAAGTCAAGCTTATATATATATGAGGATAGCTATTATTTCTTTAACATTGTTTCTGAATGCAGATGGTTAATGCATCAATTGAAGCTCCCCCAACTGAAGCATAATTTCAGGGAAGGAAACGAAGTGGCACATAGGCTGGCCAAGGAAACTATCAAGAGCCCATCCTCTACTAAGTGTTTTTACCATGTTCGCCCACCCTTTTTTGTTGAACATGAAGTGATCAAGAACATGCATGTTGTTTGTAATAGCTTTAAGATATTTCTACTACTGTTTGTAACTATTTAGCAATTATGGGCAATAGTAATGCCCTAAAAACATCTACTATGTTTATGTAACTTTTGTTTAAGTAATATAATCATCCGTGTTTTGTATTAAAAAAAAAAAACATAAACCAGCCCGAACACTAACATCATAAAGCATTAGAATTCGAGGAAAGTTGTGCCTCATATAATTTGTCATGTAGTTATGAATATTTAAATTTTAATTATAAAAACAAATCAATATCGAGTCCAATATTTAATGCTGAAAATTTTGCTATACAACATGTAAGTCAGATAAATCGAAATAAACGTTTTTTGAAGACCTGAGAAGAACACAAATTATTCCATATTATGGCATTTTAAAATGGAGATAGTGACTACTGACTAGTCTCCAATTTTCCTCCATGAAAGACATGTATTTGCAAATTAAGAACCACTGTCTGTAGGCCAACTACCGCCAAGTGCAGTGTTTATCTTTTGTGATTAGTGGTCCTTTAATTTTGAGATATTGTGGTCAGTTGTCAGTCACAATTCAACAACCATCTGCCTTAAAAATACAAATAACCATCTGTCTTGATATAAATAACGTGGTCATACTCATACCTCCTGAGTTACTATTATTCTTATTTCTATCCTTAAAAAAGGGGAAAAAAGAAGAACCTTAGGCTAACCGGGTTGGTGAATAAGTTATCCCGAATTAATAAGGGAAATGTTATTTTTAGTCCGCGCTCGAAACTATTTATATTTGGTAGCCGTAAAAGTGTATAAAATTTGTATAGTTTTTGTATATAGCATACAAAAATGTGTGTGTATATATATATTCGGCTATTATTTTAAGAGCGACTATGTAATGTTATTTTCCCAATTAATAATGATGGGATCATATACCAGGACATAATTTACCAAAGTACTCCGTAAATAATTAACTTTTCTTGACACCTTCAGTCACAAAGTATATATAATCCAGGAAAGTTATATGTTGTTTCTCTGTTCACTTGATCAACTTAATAAATGTTAAATGAAGTAGTATTTCCAAACAAATTTATTAGTAATATTTATTTGCATTATCCATGTTCATCTTCTGTAGAATTAATGGCAGTCTCGAGAGACTCTGTTGAAAATTGATTATTAATTAGTTTCGCGTTCTATATTTTGAGGGGGTAAAAGGTTGGAAATCTATATAGTAAAAAGATTAATAGGAGTATTTTAGATCCATTCAGCCGCAAGCGCACAAGTTGTTGGTATTATTCTGTCTCCCATTGAAGTAAGTATTATTCACAATTTTGGGACAAATTAATTGAATTTAGCCAACAGTAAGAAACCAAGCAATATAATCTAACTTAACTTTCCAACAAGAAATCAAAGAATAAATAAAAAAGCTCATAATTAGAGCTAGAAAGAAGCTAAAAAGATTAATAAGCTATATTATATATCCAGGCCATCATCTTTGAGACCTTTGAAGAGTAGTACTAGTTGTCTTGGAATAACTTGAAAGACTTAGAAGAAGTCAAGTCCTTGAAAGAATCCGATGGTTCACCGCCGGCAGGTAAGTCGGCGAGGGCGGCGGCGATCCGGCGAATGCTTAAAGAACGAATCGTTTTAAAGCTGTATGATCTTTGTGTTTTGGAAAATATATTTGAAGATATTGACAGAATCAAATAAACCAAAGCTTGAACCAAGGCAAAGAGACCCACCTTTATCAATATACTTCCCTCAATCTCCATTACTCTTGCAATTTCAATAGAGTTACTAGATTTTTGAAAAAGAATATGAATCTGCTGTGAGTAAAGTAAGTTGTTAAGTAGAAGAAATATATGAGAAGTGAAATGTATGCTTTTGTTTGAGAAAAAGTGGTATAGAGAAGTATGTATATAGGGGGGAAAAAGGAAGAGATAGTGAAGCTTGTGATTTTCAAATTAGGCAACCTCTTTGACCGTTTGACGTGGCTCTCCCGTTGACATATTGCAACTTACCGAGTGGGCTACGTGGAGATTTCCCGTGCTAATTTACCACATGTTTGTTCTTTCAAATTAAAATATCATAATATACGCTTAATTAATCCGAATCTGAAATAGTGTGAATTCCGAATCTGAATATTTGTATAATTATTGTGTTTGGTGAAGTACGCTGTGGGGGAAAATCATATTATGGTCTCATCTCATGTCTTAAGTGTTTAATACTATAAATGAATAGTTATCCATGTAAGACAAAACATGAGTAAGGAAGTGGAAATTGAGATATCCTGACTGTAATCAATCACGACCTTGGCCCATATGTAATTTTGATACAATATAATGAACTGGCGATAAGATGCATAAATATAGATAAAGTGCTATGTGCTTAATAATTTAATTGAATTGAAAGTTGAAATTTTATTGATGGTATGATTCTGCTATTATCAAATCTGTGAGTAGCTACTTTACTCGTGTCTATCATGTTTTGGTTGAATTTGTGTGGGTGTAGGTTTAATGGGTTTCTGCCTACATAATACACTTGGGCCTGGCAATTGGCTCAGTTGGGTGAGCATAGGTTTAGAGTCGATAGGATGCCAAACCTTTCAATTTGTACTGGCCCAATGCCTTGAAATCCAACAAATGTTACCATCCAAACATCAAAAAGTTCTGCCTAAAGAAGATAAAAGGGACGCAACTAATCTGTTAGGCATTATAAATATAAATTAAAAATATAATAATAATTCAATTCCATTATTATGGAGTTAAGTCAACTTGTAGATTAACTATTACTCAACATTTTCCCCTTCCATAAATGAGTTGCAAATTACCTCAAATGTTAGAAAGTAGTTAAACAATTTATGAACATTGTAGTTTGCTTTAGGCACGATTTTAATTTACTATCATGATTCTGTATACGTTCGCGTGACATAATATTAGTTCCCAAAAATAAGTCAAGGTACGCGTTTGCGCGACTTTGGCCAAACAATCTTTAATAATTATAAAGCGCGATTAATTGTGTACACGTACGCGTGACATGATTTTAGCGCCCCAAATAATACGGACTCACGCACATGTGATCCGTTTCAAGGATAAATCCATAATTCAATAACTAAAAGCAGTCAAAGGTAAAACGCACGTAGCTTTAAAAGTACGTAATAATTTAATTTAATTAAGCCAGGTATGATTAAAGCGACTGTGCTAAAATTACGGAATTCGGGGATCCCTAACACCTTCTCCCGGGTTAATAGAGTTCCTTACCCGGTCTTCTGCTTTTTGCGGACTTTAAAACAGAGTCAATTCCTCAATTTGGGATTTTAAAACAAACCGGTGACTTGAAACACCATAAAATTATTCCAAGTAGCGACTCCAATTTAAATAAATAATCTCATTTCGAATTATGTCACTTAAATTGGAAAAACTCCTTATTCCTTCGAAAAAAGGAGGTGTGACAGCTCTGGCGACTCTGCTGGGGACCGAACCCAAAATCTCTAGTTCAGGGTTCAGAATTCGAGCTTGTAATGTAATTTATACTTGGCTTTCTTTATTGTTGATATCACCGTGTTTGTGGGTCTAATGTGCTAATTGTCGCTCATTTACCGCTTTGATATTATTTGAACTGTATTAAACTGTCTTCTTACGCCTCCTTTCTGAGTCTTCTAAAACTATGGTGCACACGTACGCGTGGCCCACTTTTCTGTTAGAAGTCATACCAATTAGAACGAGGCTAGATCAACAACTAGGCCGGGTAGACTTTCGTCTCGGTACATTGACCCCGCCTCGGCTCAAGCTGTCCGCTTGGGTAACCCATGTTTAGAACACACCCCAGGATTTTAAACCTAGAATAACATAGCCTCATGCCGGATCCCTAGTAGGAACGTTTGTTTGCATCACGTGCATTTGACTTTGGGGACCCAACACAAGGGTTGGGTTCATCTAGGACAGGTGTACACGAAATAAAAGACCATCTTGATGCATCCTACGTGCTATTTGTGCATTTGTTTGTTTCGGCTTTCATGTTGACCGGCTTCTAGAATAGGGAAAGAAAATCAAGAAAAACCCAAGAGTGAGGTAGAAATGAGAAAATTTACCCTGTTCTGATGACCCAAGTATTTGAAAATCCTGAAACTCTGCCGAATTTTTGAAAATAAAAAAGAGGAAAAGTCGTTACAAAATTCGGCCCCAGTTTTAAAAAAAAAAGGATTTTAAAACCCAAGAAATATTTTCTTTCTTTCCGAAGTCTTTCATAAGAAAAAAAAGAAACTAAAAAAAAAAGAGAGAAAATCAAAAATCAAAATCCAAAATAGGGGTTTCCTTTATTTTGAAGTATTTTTTCCAAAAAATTCAAAAATAAAATCGGAAACAAAAATTCAAAAATATTTTTTTTCTTCTTTAGAAGTCGTTCTTTTGTGAATGTCATAAAAATTGAAGTCCAAAAATATTTTCGCTTTTTTTATAAGTACTTTCGTAAGTCAAAAAAAAATATTTCTTAAAAATCCCTCTTTCAAAAATTCAGAGGCAACATTCAAAAAATTCCAAAAATATTTTCTTTCTTCTTTAGGAAAAGAGAAAACAAATGAAAATTCAAATAAAAATATTTTCTTTTTAAATTTGAAATTCTCAAAGTTCAAAACAAAAGAAAAAGAATTTTTAGAAGTCTTTTTTTCGGAAAAATAGTAGTAATAAAAAAAATTCAAAACCCAAAATCTAAATTATTTTTCCATGATTAGTAGCCATTTTTTTCATGAACTACGTAACGATCTCATTCATGCGGCGTCGTGATATGTAGGAATCCCATCGGATTCGATCATAGCAATAAACAAATTGAGTGAAAAATAAACAGAAAAAAAGAAAGAAAGAGAGAAAATTTGAGTGAAAAAGAAAGAAAAGAGTGAGAAAAAATAACAAGAAAAACAAAGAGCGAAAATAACAAAAAAGAGAGAAAATCAAGATGTGAAAGATCCAAAAAAAAGAGACTGGAGGAGAAAGAAAAGAGGAACAGAGTGAAAAGGGACATTTAATGGCCGGGATGAAACACACAACCGTTCAAATACATGGTAGAAGCGTTTAACTGTTAGGTGCATTGCATCCCAACGTGCAAAGATTGTGGTATGTGTAAATAAATCAGGTACTGTTCAGGTAAGGTTTTGTTAGTAGTCTGGCTTCGCATCCATACTTCGCAAGATCTAAGGGCAAGGTTCCTATGACCCCCGACAGTCATCTACCAATTATCGATCCTGAGGATAGCCCAGCTTCGGCTATTCCACAACCAGAATCAGCAATTGCAGAAGAGAATAGGATGATGCGTCTCCGCATGATGGAAATGTGGGACGCCTGGTCTAATGGTAGGGAACCGCCAAGTGCAAACCCTGGGTTCCCTGAGTTGATACCGAGATCAGGTGGGGCTGCGAACGTCCCTATGTCCAACCTATTTATCTTATGCGGGTACCCTCCAATGCCATTTAACGGTCCTAGAATGCCTTCTGTGGTTCGTTACCAGGCGTTGGCTTCAAAGGCACCAGCAGCAATGTTCTCTGCAACACCAGTATGCACCATAACACAACCAACTATACCACGACCGTATGTTGAGCCTCCAATTTTCACCTTTCAGGGTCCACAATTTCAACCAGAAATAACATATGTGACCCGGCACTCCTTTACTCAACCTCCGCAATATAATTTCTCGGTGGAGCAAGAAAAGGTTTTCAAGAATCCCGAGCAAGAGAAAATAGCTCGAAAGATGAAAAGCCTAGAACAAAGCCTAAAAAGCATGCAAGGCCTGAGTGGAAAAAAGAGTGTCTCATACTCCGGCCTGTGTATGTTTCCTCATGTTCATTTGTCGGCTGGCTTCAAAACGTCAAAATTTGAAAAGTACGACGGGCACGAAGACCCGACCGCTCATCTGAAACGATATTCTAACCAGTTGAGGGGTGCTGGTGGAAAAGAGGAGCTGCTACTGGCCTATTTTGGAGAAAGCATCACCAGAATCGCTTCCGAGTGGTACATGGATCAAGAAATTACCCATTGGCATATGTGGGACGATTTAGCCCGAGATTTTGTCCGCTAGTTTCAGTACAATGTGGACATCACTCCCGACAGAAACTCCTTGTCCAATTTGAAAAAGAAAGCAGTAGAAAGCTTCTGTGAATATGCTATCAAATGGCGCGAGCAAGCTGCTAGGTTAAAGCCTCCAATGGACAAAACAGAAATGGTTGCGGTAGGCGGACTACTTCCAGAACATGATTTCCGCTATAGGTAAATCGTTCGCTGAGGCTATCAAAATTAGGGAGTGTTGATACCCAATTTTTCCCTATAATATTTTTTAAAATGCATATATACCTCCAAAACTAGGCATTAGCATCAATTAATATCTTTCCATAATTTCAGCATTTTTAAGGGTTTTATTTAATTTGTCCCAGTATTTTTATTTATATAAACAATTGCTAATTGCATCACAAATAGTTTTATGATAATTTTGTGGCTTAATTTTATCATTTGCATTTGTACTAAGTTTTAATTATTTTACAAATAGCCACATTTGCATTTTTTGGGGTTATAATTGCAAAAAACTTTTGCAATTATAGCTCATGCATGCATTATTACATAATTTTACCAGAAAATATCTTTTTATATTTTTTAAATAGTAAGTGATTGTTTTAAAATATTTCTAGGCATGAAAAACATTTTTATAATCTGTTAATTATTTCAAAAATTGTTTTTATCAATTAAATGGGTATTTAACAAATAGCCCTTTTTATTTTTTCGGACCTAGCCTATTAAACCAGCCCAATTTCAATTTCCCAATCCCAATCCAATTAGAACCAGACCCAAATCCACCCCAGCCCAAACCTAAAGACTCTACCCGGCCCCAAACCCCTTTGATCTTGGTTGTTGATCACAGAGA